ATTGTAAAATAATGATAAAGGAATAATTTTAAGAAAATTTGTATATTTCTAATTTTTAAATACGAATAAATTCAAAAATTACTTATATATATATATATATATACATAAATTAAATTATTTATATAAATATTCTTAAATAATAACATTTTAATTTTTTGTATCTTTTTGTTTTTTTATCAATATAAATAATATGTATTAAATATATTATTAAGCAAAAATCTCAATTTTATAAACTAATATAACTAATATAACCTAATAAAGAAAAGCAAAAATGAATATTAGGGAATTTATTGGTAATAATTGGTATTACATATATATATGTATATACATGTATGTATATATTTCTAAATAGTAATCATAGCTACAGTGCATCCATCTACGAGCGTCGGCTACCGATGTCCGCCGCGGCGGCGACAGAGTCAACATCCGGCGACGCAGAGATGCGCACGTTTCGGCGCTCGCCGAGGGAAAAGGGACGCCGCGATCGTGACTTTGGGACATGAGAGCGACAATGAAGCCCACCAGCCTACACAGCAGCACCTGAGGAGCACGTTCGCTTCCAGCAGTACGTTTTACAAGGAATTCGACCGGTTTACTTGGGATTTACCTAGGTTTCGGTCTTTGGTCCTAAAGTTTATTCTGAAACGATCGAAAGGCTACCTTTTCTACCAACGAGGTAACACACCTCTTCCTTTGAATCGTGAATGGTTCTATGATTCTCTTTTTTAAATAGAAATTATTAATAATTGTACGATCTTTTGTTGTCTAATTATCAAATCCTTTTATTCATATGCGAATATATATTTCAAAAATCTTACAAATTAAATTAGTTATGAATACAACTTAATAAATATATTTTTACTTATTCTATAAAAGTTTTTATATTTATGTAGATTTGTGTATATGACAATTATTTTTTAGATTTTTATTTAAGAAATATGTCTATATATTTTATTAGTATTACTAAAATTTAATTAATTATTTTTTTTATATTTTATTTTTAAAATATAATTTAAATTAAAAAAATCATTTTATTTAATTTTTTTTTATTAAAATTGCTTAATTATTCATTTAATGTTTGTTTATGTATAGTATTTCAGAAATATATAAACTATATTTAGTTTATATATTGAATTTGTTTCATTTTGATTTTAAGTAATAATTATTTTGATTTATATAATTCAATTTTTATTTTTTCAATAAAAATTAAAAAATAAATATGTAAATGTATGTAAATATGTTCATATTATGATATTATTAATTAATTTTATATATATAATTTTATATATGATATTATTTAATTTTATATATTTCAAAAACTC